AAAAAATGTCATCTGTGGAAGCCGTAGTACTGTAAAAAGCACGACCAATCATTTTAGCCGGGTAAAATAACTGGATGGCCTACCTGCCTGTCAGCCTTCCATCTGTGCACAAACTTATCTCGTGCCCTCATTGGTCATGTGCACGTTCGTGTGTGTTGGAGGAGGGGCTCTGTAAGGAAGTGGCAGATTTTCTCCGGTTGTGTATTTTCAAATTCTAGCGATCTCGAGCCGGTTTCTCAAACTTACCTACCCCACCTTTAAAGTTAAATATAACATCTTGTGAAAACACAAGATACGTGAAGTCATTATAAAATAGAGATCGTAATGAGGAAGCACTTTAACAGGACTTTCCCCATACAGATAGAAAGTATCCAACAATACATGGTCAAAGATAAAATAAACGTATCGTTGTGGTTGACAAACAGCAGAAGGCAGAGAGGAACGTGAGAAGCTAGAGATAAAAAGCTTGAAAGTATATATATATATATATATATATAAAACATTTTAGAATATTTACTGTATATATATATATTGTGTGTGTGTGTGTTTGTGTGTCACTTTGATGTAGGGCAAAGTGTACAGCAGGTGAGGACACAACATATTTCTACCAGGAAGTTGGCTTGTTTTGGCTCTTGAAAGTAAAATGAGATGCCCCCGCCCCCACCATGGACAAAGATCAAACCAAGAGAAAAATGTAGGCTTACATCCTTGTATGTAAGCCATTATAAAATAGAGATCGTAATGAGGAAGCACTTTTCCTTACAGGTAATAATAAATGAATAAGTATCCAACATTCCACCACCGCTTATGAAACTCCCATCAACGTATAAAAAGGAGGAATCAGTAGACATGAGCCATTCACCAAAGGATTCTTGGTCTAACAGGTAAAAGAGATGTTCTATGATCTTTTTCTTTTAGCAAAGATTAGCCTTATAAATAAGTGAGAATTGACAAAAATAGTAGTATTTGTCATATTATATATTTTGCCAATGCCATTTTCATTGTATTACCAGTATTAATCCAACTTTTTTTGCCCTCAGGTTTGTCTTTTGCTTAATATTGTTATTTTTTGCATTCAGGTTTATCTAGTCACAGTCAACCCAAACTAGTGCTGAGCAACTTCTTTATTATTTTTTCCCTTACAGGATTATTCCTCTCTCCAGTGAGAAAATGGTTGATTATAAAGTGACAGTATTCACCGCCAATATTGACTTCTGGGACTTTAAACAATGTCTACATTACATTGTGTAATATCATCCTCTATTATCCTCTCTAAAACAGAGAGGCAACATATTCCTGTGTGACTACAAGCTTCTGGAAGGACTGAAACCAAACACCATCAAAGGGAAGCAGCAGTACATGACGGCTCCCCTCGTCCTGCTCCACAAAACACCTGATGGCGAGCTGTTGCCACTTGCTACTCAGGTGAGATTAGCACTCAGGTATAGTCAATCGTTAAGATTTATGTTAGTGTATTGATTAAAGCATTCTATCATTCAAACTAAATAGCAGCCACCATAGCTGGTGTTTAGACAGCTATGAATTCCCTGTTAAAAAGAAGTGTCAGTTAATTCACTATTGCCTGACCCTGAAGCATGTGAAAATGCCCACTTAAAGCCATATTCAGTTTCACTTAGGTGAACTTACTGTTACCTGGGATTCAATGCAAAGTGAATTTCACATAAAGAATAAAGAGAGCATCGATAGCTGAAAAGCAGATTAAACCTATAGTAAATTATAAAAAATATAAATGTCATTTATTTATATGTTAACGCATAAAATAAGAAATCAATATCTGACTATTGTTGTAGTAATGTACATAGTGCCCTTTTGGCCATGTTGCTCTTGAAAAGTCAACATTATTTGAAATTGTAAAAGTATTGAGCAGTATTTTTTGTTATTATTATTATTATTATTTGTTAATATTTGTTTTTGTTTTGAATTCATAGGTAGAGAGAAAACACAGATTTATTTTTTATCAGATCACATACCGTTGCATTAAATAAATATTATTTGCTTATTTTCCTGTGGTTTCTCAGTTGCAGTAACTGTTCAGCTCAGCTCACTAAAGGGATGTTAAACTCAGACAAAATAACCATGACTGTCCAGAAAAGGTTTTGAACATATTGCTTCATTATAAGATAATGTTCAACACGTTTCATGTGAAAAGTATTTAAGCCAGTACAAAATGAACTCACATCTTTTATTAAGTCAGAATTTACTTGAACACAGTCACCTACACTGATATTTTGGTACCACTTTACAATAAGACTACCCTTATAAAGGATTCATAAAGGGTTTATAATTAGGTTATGAATTAGGTTGTAAACACTTTATTAATCATTAAGAACCATTTATAAACCAGTTCTAACATAGTTTTCATACATCAACACAGGCTCACTATTAGGCAAGATGACTAAGCCTTATACCTAGCTTACTTCGTCTTCTTCATCAGCCAGCATCCTTGGTATCTGTTGTTCACTGAGTTGATTCCCCCCTTCCATCTTGATGTTTCTTGACATCTCTTTATGACCATTTATTTACGAGTTACTAACATTTATAGTTGCCAAAAGGGAGCCTTATTGTAAAGTGTAAAACACATTCCCATTTATTAAAGGTGGGGTAGGTAATTTTGGAGAAACCAGCTCGAGTGTGCTAGAATTTGAAAATACACAGCCGGAAAAAATCTGCCACTTCCTTACAGAGCCCCTCCTCCAACACACACGAACGCACACATGACCAATGAGGGCACGAGATAAGTTTGTGCACAGATGGAAGGCTGACAGGCAGGTAGGTCATCCAGTTATTTTAGCCGGGCCGGCTAAAATGATTGGTCGTGCTTTTTACAGTATTACGGCTTCCCAGTGGCGTTTTTATATGTACAAAAGTGGTGGGGCACAAAAAACGTAGATGTCTATATATAAGCTCCTGAAGTGACGTGCAGTGAGGTTCATGGCTGGTGAGGCACTGGCACTGACTCTTCAGGTTTACAAATATTATATTTTGACCTAAACCAAAATATAATATTATTTTCAAAAGCTTTTTTTGTCTGATGCTTCGATTAATTTTAAACAGACAGTTCAACAAAAGGATACCCAAAAAATGTAATTTTATCATTTAAATATTGAATTGTTCTCTCTTAGTAAGATCCCATTTTCAATCAAATTGCGGTCTTACCTTGACTTGAAGATGAAGTCCATTTGCCTATCCTTCTGGACAAAAATGTCTATAACTTTTTTGTAAAAGTCCTCCTTATGTTCTTGTAGTTTCAAAAGTCTATCATAAATCTAATCCATAGATTTATGATAAAAAAATTATAAAAGTAGGGTAGACATGTGGATGTTATCCGGCTGATCAAAACGTGCATTTATCTAACAGGTACGTTTCCCACAGATCTTATTTCCAGCTATTTTCTAAAATCCTCTGGAGAAATCTCATTGCTTTTTTGTCGAGGGAAGCCATGCGCAGCTTACTTCCTGGTTTTAGGACGCGTCACTGCAGCTCTCTCGTCTCCTCTTCACACACCACACTTTTCGCGGCACACGTACTTACAGCCAATCAGCTCTGAATGATTTGAGATGACGTATGGTGGGGATGGTAGCTCCGTGCCCCTCTGGTCATTATTTTTTTGCCACACACATTTCATTACAAAATACTCTGAGCATGCGCAGTGTAGTTTTTACAGTCACCGTTGACTTCACAGCGAGAGGGAGGGGCATAATCAGGTTTTGTCCCACATGGCTCTAAACAGCTCAATAGGCACACACTGTGACTGTAGACACACTAATTAGAAGAACACAGACTAAAACAGCAATGTACAGACGAATCAGATGATTAAACATGATCTTAAAATATATTTTATATATTTTTTTATTTATTTTTTTGCATTTTTGTAATCATTATTTGTAATACTTTCTGCTGACACTAGGTGGGGCTGTGCCCCACCTGCCCCTAATGACCAGTCGCCACTGCGGCTTCCACAGATGACATTTTTTTATGGATTTTTTGTCAAAGCACTTAAGATATTCATTACTATCGGGATGTTAAGAGCATTCCATGGAATATAACAAAAAGTGTATCTCGAGCCGGTTTCTCAAACTGACCTACCCCACCTTTAATGAGTTACTACCATTTATGATAATGCTGCATTCACACCGGACGCGATGCGATGTTTGGGGGTGGCGCGATTACATGTAAAGTCAATGCAGAGACGCGGACAGACGCAAATTCGCTCTGACGGCACACATGAAGCGGTGGACGCGGCGCGGATCACGCGATTGAGGCGATTGAAGGGGGCCGCGTCAAACGCGAGAGTTCAATTTTTTCAACTCGAGCGTCAAATTCACGTAACGCGTTCTCGCGGAAGCCAATCAGCGGTGAGGATCTCAGCCTGCCGTCACTGACGTTCAACCAGAAAACATCAGCCGTTAGCTGTTAGCAGTTAGCACACAGAGCTCACAGCTCCTCATATCTGTTCCTGCCTGTTCAGACAGGCAGGTATAGAGGGGCAGACAGATTAATGTGGCCAGGGGATGGGAAGTTTGGGGCCCTCTGCTGGAACCGCTTCCTCCGCAACCTGACCCAGGATAAGGGGTTGAAGATAGATAGAAGAATGGAAAAGGCCTTCAGGACTAACTAATGGTTTCATAGTTCATATTGTTTTACCTGTTTTAATATGCAAACATATTTCTCAATGATTATCAGGAACTCATTTGAACAACCTTCGGGTCAATGCCCTACATGTCTGACTTTACGTCACCATAACTTTATTCTACTACTTCTTGCTGACACTCCCACAAAACTGTTTGTATAAATAGCAGAATCAGTGGGGATGACTTTTATCGAAAGAGCCTTTCTTTAGAGAAACCTCCCGCTCTCATTAAAAGGTAAGAGAGATGCTTTATGATTTGAGGTTGATGTAATCACAGTTACTCGTATTAGTACTGAATGGTTATTATAGTTCTCTCACAACCAGGATTCTTCTGCTTTCCAGAGCGAAAATGGTGGACTATAAAGTGACAGTATCCACTGCCTGCCGTGATGATTCCGGCACTTCACACAAGGTCTACATTAAGCTGGTGGGGAAAGATGGGGAGAGCAAATGCACCTGGCTTGAAGTAGATTCCTCCTTCATCCCAGGAGCTGTAAGTCTTAAATACGCCTTTCTATATTCAAACGAAGGCTTTAACATGCTTCCTCAAACTGAACAAGAGATAACACACACACTAGTACTAATTTACAGAAACTCAAATAATAAGGTGTTTATTAAGCAACATGAATAAGATTGAAATACAAGATAGCACAGGTAAGTGTTCATACAGGGAACACTCTGCAGCCTTGACATCTAGTTGCTCTCTGGGAAGAAGAAGCAAAGACAGTGAACATATCTTCTGTATTGCGTACATTTTATTATTTTCTCAACCCTTATACATTCAGTCATTTGGTGATAATCATTTGGATGTCAAAGCTTATTGGTTATCAAATACACTTTATCTCTTGTATCAATGTTTCCAAACAATTTCTGTCATTATACCAGGTGTCTTCTTTCACTGTTTCCTGCCCTGTCTCCATTGGAGAGCTGCATCAGATAGAGCTAGACAAAAAGCCAACAGAAATACAAGATGATTGGTTCCCTGTCAAGGTGGTAGTCAAATCCCCTGAGGGAGGCACCTACACGTTTCCCATTTTCCGCTCCATCACTACCAGTGATGTACACTACTTCGATGAGGAAAAAGGTTTGTGAAAGGTTTGTTTGACCTCCAGTACAATGTGCACTTTCCAGAAGATATGAAGTTATAACAAATTCTTCAAGCTGGTCTACTGTATAAGGAGTCCAGAAAAAATTCTGCATGTTAAAACCTTTTTTGATTCTTTTTTTAAGCTCCGGTTACGCCGCCTATAAAAATGTCTTTTATGGCAACAAGCCATCAGGTAGACCCGGCTTGGCGAGAGAAACACTATCAGTAAGAGCTCAGAGCGTATTCACATTTTAATTGTATTAAATCCTAAGATAACATGTATCAGAATCTCCTCCACTTTTGGGGAAATATATTCCTTATATGTAATGACATATGAATCACAATGTGAGAATAGGCGCGTTCACACCAAGTACTTTTCCCACAATAGTTCATGAGAACTTTAGTTCATGAGAGCTAGATCGCGTTCACACCAAAATGAGTTCCTGGGGGTGGATTAGGCAAATGAACCGCTGACGTCACTTCTTCTTCTTCTGCTTTGGGTTTACTGGCAGGCCGCAAACAACTTCACGGCGAGTACAGTAGGTGGCGGTATGCACCTTAAAGTTGCAATCCGCCAAAAAACTGAGAGAAAAAGAAGAAGAAAAACCTCCCGCGCCCACTTGCTGTAAATGAGGCGTCTGTTTACCTTCCGACCTCAGACATGAGCTTCGTCTGAGTTATTTAACCAAACACAAATACAGATCGTCGACCAGTCAAATGCAATAGCAATGCTGATTCGGAAGCGAAGGCGGTTAAGAAGGATTGACAAAAGGATTGGACGACGACATGCACGCGCTACGCTACGTGTGAAATGAATAAACTGTGCCAGGTGTGTCGTATGCACACTAAATAGGCTCAGCAGCTAACACACCTTTATTATATATCCTCCTGAGAGCAACTGCATCCGTCTGCCATGAACCCTACGTGTTAGTTTTGGCCCATATGTGTCGTGTAAAATGGGGGAAATCAAAAGTTAGCAAATCCCCATGTCATGTTTATAAAAACATTTAGTTTTAGGTCAAATAATTATTACACTTCTCTGAAACTCACTACACTAACTCCTAAGATGTTCCCTTACTATAATTAATTAAAAATATTGAACTCACAACACTGGTAATAACAAACTTAACCATTTCTCTTTCTATAAATAAATAGTGCTTGTGTTGGACGCCATTTTGAAATACAATGAAATTATCTTTTTGAAAGCCACAATAAATAAAGCTTTGCCAGTTTATAACCGATGAAACATGATGGTATCAGAATAATCACTTACATGTGATGTATCATGCTACACAGGTCACTGTAAAGATAAAGTGTCAGAGGAGAAATAAGCAAGCTTAGTTACAATGTAATGAAAAATGTAAGATACAGGCTCCGTTTAATCGCCATGTAGGTTCTCTTTTATTGCACACTCAAGACAATATCAGACAATAACAGCATCACGCTGTCCCAGGTGTGTCGTATGCATGTAAATAGAAGTCAACATTTTCAATATCAAATAAAGTGTCAGTAGTATCAAAACATACATATATATATATATATATATATATATATATATATATATATATATATATATATATATATATATAATAACAATAGGTAGGGTCAGCGACAGACACACCTTAGTGCAAAGTGAAGTGTCAGTATTAATAACAGTGGCATATATATATATAATCACAATAATACAAAATTAACTGTCCCAGGTGTAGGCAATTTGGGGTGAAGTGTCTTGCCCAGGGACACAACGACATGCTGACTGCAGTGGGGTTTGAACCAAAATAAATATCAAAGTGCCCTTATTTATTGTTTTGTGCTTAATGTATGCTTGAACTTTGTTTTATAGGGATTAGTGGACATCAGTTAGATGTGTAACCTTCTTTCAAGGCCAGAGTAGTTACAGTGTAAGTGGATTGACATCTAACATAACATGGCTGAGTACAATTATAACAATCAATAAAAAAAAGGAAAAATAAATAGAATTTCAATTACATTTCTACTTAAATGTGCAAACATATTAGAACATCAGTCTTTGTGGCATGCAGGTAATCAACTGTTTAAGCTTTTACCATTAACATGTAGAATGAATGTTGCAAATGACTTGAAATTATAGCAACTACAATGTAGGTAGCATTATGTCCAGCTAGCATGCTAATTGCTAACGTTATATTATCGTTTTATCCCGGAGGGGAAAACTAGTTTCTAGTCCAGAGAGAAACACCTCGCCTGAAACACACGATTAGTGCCATGAGTTAGTGAAGCAAATTACAGAACATTGGGGGACCAGGGACTGAAAAGCGGGTCAGATGAACTAATTTGAACTACTTTAGTTCCTGGGGCTTTTTGGTGTGAACGCAAATATATCGTAGTTCTGATGAACTATTGTGGGAAAAGTACTCTATACTTATATAGTAGCCTATAGTTGCACCAGGGTTTATGATTACAAATAAAATGGCCTACTTGTAGGTGCAGTTTCCCCCTGGTTAAGCATTAAAGTAATAGTTTTACAAGATGATAATGGCCTCACCACTTTGCTATTTTCAATTTTTCACAGCTGGCATTCATGTGGAGAAGGAATACCCCATTGCATGAAGGCAGGAACGCTTCATTCTCTGCCCTTGGAGGTCAACTTTTCCTGGACCAAGTCCTTTGAGTTTTACTTGAATCTCATCACTGGGTGACGTCTTCAAAACACATATGTGTACTCTAGATTCATGTCAAATAAGCATTGCTTATTGTCAGAGTAAAACATTACAGACATTCTTGTAATGATGTTGCCTTTTTTGCTTTGTGGAGCAGGGAACTAGATGATTCAGTTGTGTTTCCTTTCACCAATACTGTGTGGATTTACAGTCTCCCTGTTTTACCTACCTACCTACCTACCTACCTACCTACCTACCTACCTACCTACCTACCTACCTACCTACCTACCTACCTACCTACCTACCTACCTACCTACCTACCTAGATGATTCAGTTGTGTTTCCTTTCACCAATACTGTGTGGATTTACAGTCTCCCTGTTTTACCTACCTACCTACCTACCTACCTACCTACCTACCTACCTACCTACCTACCTACCTACCTACCTACCTACCTACCTGCCTACCTGCCTACCTGCCTGCCTGCCTGCAGATAATAAATAAATAATAATATTGTATGCTTTTCTTTGTTCTAGGCTGACTGAGCTGCTCCTGAAGGGAATTGCTTGTTCCGAAGAGAACTGGACTGATATTGATGATATCAAGGGAATATTACACACCAAGAACCACTTATCAGGTGTACTATTATAGCAGTTCAATGGTATACTTGACCCTGTATGCATGATAACAATAATAATATTAATAATAGTACTAACTAATATATAACATTTTATTATTGTAGGAGCCAAAATGCTTGTTTTGCCATTGCTTATTATTTATATTATTATCTTCATTTCCTTTTACATGACGTTTAATTCTTATTGGTTAACACTTGCGAAATGTATCACATTGGTGTGTAGTTAATTGGTAATCAACCACACCTGTGGGATCCTGGTTTTGTGTGTGACAAAGAGTAGAGGGTAAATTGCGCCGACACTTTCTGTTGAGCGTATGGTCCAGACTTGGATATTGTTTGTTTTGTGTTTTTATAAAACACCATGAACTCTAACCACATCACGGACTATGTATGGAACGTGTCACAGCAAAAAGCAAGTTTTAGCCTCAAGTTTTAGCGACCCCACAAAAGAGAGTAGCATGGAGGACAAGGCACAATCATGCATAACATGTAGCTATTTTACTAAAGTAAATGTAAAGGTGGGCAGGAGTCAACCTCAAGCTCTCTCTTTCAAAATGGCCTCTGGTATAATGGCCTTTCTTACATTGAACACTGATCATATATTTTACAGAAGCAAATGAGACACTGATATTATGCTTTTTCCATTTGGGTAGGAAGAACTAGAAACTGTGATCACACAATCAAGACCCAGACAAATACAAACAGTGTCCAATAATATGTGTGTGTCTGCATTCTGTGTGACACATGGTTTCCTATTTTAAAGTTTCCCACGCAGGGTACAGTAAAGGTGTTAACAGAAGAAGAGTTAACATTTCTAGTATGAAACTCAATAAAGTGAAACTGCCACTTTTTTGTCTAGACTGTGTCCAGAAACATTGGAAAGAGGATGCTTTCTTTGGCTACCAGTACCTAAATGGTGTCAACCCCATGTTGATCCGACGTTGTTCAGCTCTGCCCAACAACTTTCCTGTCACTGATGAGATGGTCTTCCCCAGTGGTCCGTGTAGCTTAGCAGAGGAAATGAAGGTGATTGTCTTGATACTCTCAGTAGTAGAAACTTGTTTTGCCTAATGACATGGTGAATTAAGAATTGTCTGTCACAATAACATGTTCATTTAATATGTGTAATATCTATACTGTGTTGATGTGATTCTAATTAATCTAATACATTAGTTTCTCATCCTCTCTAAAACAGAAAGGCAACATATTCCTGTGTGACTACAAGCTTCTGGATGGACTGAAAGCAAACATCATCAGAAGGAAGCAGCAGTATATTGCGGCTCCCCTCGTCCTGCTCCACAAAACACCTGATGACAAGCTGATGCCACTTGCTATTCAGGTGAGATTTGCACTCAAGTAGGTAACATAAAATATGTATGCATTGATTAACTATCATTGATTCAACTATCATTCAAATTGCAGAAGAAGTCGGCCTATACGTTTATTTATTCCTGCCTGAGCCAGAGCCAGGCAGGAATAGTTGAGTTGGATCAACTTTTTTTTTACAAGACACAAAAGCATTGATGTATAAAAGACAAAGGAACGTGGGGCTGCTGCTCTAAATGTAATCCTTTGGTCTGACATGGGCTTCAACGAAAATGAAAAATGTCCCCTTAAAGGTTCTATATAAATGCAGTACATCTATATATACAGAGATGGGGTCGTTACTAAAAAAAAGTAATATATTACATATTACATATTACTTTAAAAAAAAGTAATATATTACACTACTTCGTTACTCTCTACATAAAGTAACTCGTTACTTTACTCGTTACTTTACTCGTTACTTTACTCGTTACTTTACTCGCAGGGCCGGCCCGCCCCTCCCTACAGGCAGATCACGCAGACTGCTAAAGTTTCAAATGTTCTCTTTAGTTCAGTTTCCATTGTCGCATAAGACTGATCCAGATAGCTCTGACTATGGCTGTCCTCTGTCTCCTGCTATCTGTATTTTGCGCAGTATATCTCTGAACGATGCGATGGTGATTCCACTGTGCAAATGGGCAACATTACCTCTACTATGAAGGATGCTACAAGCCTGTCCATCTCTGCTTTGGTTACCGGTCCTCCAAATTCTAATTTGTGCCGCTTCGGAGTCGGCGGCGGCGACTCACAACATCCTCACTCTGGGTTCGGGGGTCCGGTCCTTAGCTATTAGCTTCACCTTAGCATGTGTTCTTTGCAGGTGTTTGTTGAGGTTTGACGTGGTGTTTCCAGCAGTGTATAACAGCTTCTGGCCTGGACACAGTTTGCACCTCACCGTCACATTCCTGTCTATTCTTCGGACGAACTCAAAATAATGGGCATACCTCCACCCCTCGAAAGTTATCGCTGACTCTGCCATGTTTATGCAGCACTGCAAGTGGAGATGTGGACGTGCAAATCGCGCAGATTACGTACATATAAACCTGCGGCGGAAACCCCTCTTGTCTGTCAGTGTGATTAAGACTGATTTTATAAAAGTAACGAAGTAACGCGTGTCGGGGCAATGTTAGTAACTGTAGTGTGATTACTGAATTATAAAAGTAACTACTCCGTTACCGACAAAAGTAATATTATTACAACTCTGTATATATATAGCACTTTTCCAGTCTCTGGGAATTAGGGGAGACTAATATACACCCCAATTGGCCATTCTATCGGGAACAATTCAGGGATCAGCTTCTTTTCCTAGGACACTATTGAAACCATTGACCCGACAATTGGTGGACGGCGCTCTTCCTCCTGAGCAACATAGCAAAAAGTTGCCATGAAACTACTTGCTAAAGATTGAGAGGCGAAGGCCCTCCCCTTCCGGTTGAGCTCCATGGGATCTTATTTCGGAAAAATTATGTATTGAAGTCAATGGAGAGAGAAAGATTATCTTTCGATCCCGTTTGAATTGTGCCACGAATTACACACATGATGTTTGTCAATTTAAAAGATAATTTTACAAGTTAAAAAAATAAAAATGTGTCGTAAAACTGTGAAGTAACACTTTTTTTGTGTGAAACCGCTCAATGAACTACATCTCCCGTCTCGCACCACACACCAAGACGGCCGTCACGTTGGCACATTTCACCTCTTTCTTTCAGAATGAGGCGAAAAGTATTAAAAGAGGTGAAAATCACTACAAGTCTGGGCATGTTGAGAGCTGTACATACACACAAGGGGAGTTAGTCGGTTCTGTAAGAGCCAGCATGCGGGACCGGGATTCTGGGATTTGTAGTCTTTCTAGTTGCGTATTTTTCATAGTCTTATATTTCAACAGTTTTACGACAAACTATGACTTTTTTGACATGGAAATTATTATTTAAGATTGACAAACATCATATGTGTAATTTGTGGCACAATTCAAACGGGATCGAAAGATAATCTTTCTCTCTCCATTGACTTTTTCCGAAATAAGGTCCCATGAGTCCCACTGGAAGGGGAGGGACTTCGCCTCTCTATAGGAGTATTGATTACCTAAGCAGTGAATGAAGTCACAGTCTGAGAAGGCAGTCCCTCTGCTCTAACTTCCATATTTCAGCGTTTAACAGATTGACTGAAAAGTAGAGAAAAGTTATATATAGCCAAAGAAACAAAAATTACAGAAAATGTATCAATGGATTGAACGAACCACATCACCCTTCCTTCTCCTGCAGCTGAAGCAGACTCCAGCAGGAGTCAACCCCATCTTCCTGCCTACTGATTCTGAGTACGACTGGTTGATGGCCAAGGTTTTTGTGAGAAGTGCAGATTTCAACCTGCATCAACTGAATTTTCACCTGCTGCGCACACATCTGCTGGCTGAAGTCTTCACAGTGTCACTGATGCGCAATGTGTCAAGGACACATCTACTGCATAAGGTACCTGGAAGAAGAATACTTGATTCACTGTAGCTGTATTGTTTCAACTTTGTTAGAATGTAATAGTGTCACTAACAGAGTTCTCTCTTTCCAGCTGCTCGAACCTCACACTCGTTACACTCTGCATATCAACTTCCTAGCTCGAAAAACACTCATATCTGAGAAAGGAGCTTTCTCACAGCTACGGAAAGACCAATTTTTGTAATATCATGTACAGTATTTGTCTCTAACTATATCCCGAAATATTGACTGTTCCCTAGTTTGTATCTTCTGGTGGAAAGGTTTTGAAGACCATCCTGAAGCGATCACTGTCCTCATTGACCTACAGCTCCCTCTGCATACCAGAGGACATCACTGAGCGTGGCCTGGAGGCTGTGCCCAACTTCTACTACAGGGATGATGGACTCAAGCTCTGGGATATCATCCAAAGGTATAATAGTGTAGGCAGTTTCTATTCTGTAATAATAATCATGTGCTAGGAATGCAAATAATGTATATTGTAGGCAAATGTGGTTGCCATGCGAGAAACAGTCAAATGATGCTTAGGGTTAGGTTTGTTGGAACCAAACAAACAACTGAATCACATAAAACCAATTATGTCAATGAAGAAAAGATAAATCTGCTGGCACGCACAAAGGCTATAGATCTGTTTTAATGCAGTTATTGCCCCATTAAAGAGCACTAGTCCTACTATTTTCATAACAAAGTGACACCCATTGGTGGTATGCATCATGGAAGCCAGGTTAAGCTGGGCTAACTCAGCAAAAAAGCTAAATTGGCATGTTCCTCAAAGTTAGGATCCTCTTTTTCAAATATTTCACCAAAATGTTCAAAAGCACAGACCTGACTCTTCTAAAGGAATGGGCCATTGAAAGATGTCTCTACAGAGTGTCATACTAGTGCAGTGTGTATAATACACCAGCTAGAAATGTGTTTTACATTTCAGGTTTGTGCAGGGAATGCTCAGCTTCAACTACGGGAGTGATGCCCAGGTTTGGAAGGACGAACAACTGCAGGATTGGATTTCCGAAATCTTTAAATATGGATTTCTTTCCCAATCATCAACAGGTGGGCTAAAGAAAAGCTAAATGTTTTAGATAATAACTGTGCACATTTATGTACCATTGTAATATGATTATTTAAAAAAAGCCGTCTTAGTAAAGCATGTAATTCCCTCTGGTTCTCAGGGATCCCACAGAGCTTCACCACCGTGGAAGAGTTGGTGAAGTTTGTCACCATGGTGATCTTCACCTGCTCAGGACAGCACTCAGCCGTGAACACTGGACAGGTGAAGCCTCCTAATATACCACAATTATTATGTATGTGTGTGGAATGCGTAAATAAGGTTTTATTAGTATTTTTCTGTCCTGGAGAACGATGGATGAATTCTGTTAAAACAAATTACATTAGACTCAGAGGATTGTAAGCAAGTCTTTAAAATAAATAATATTTGAAAGCTATGTTAGCAAGTCAGCAAGGCTTTACATAGGCACATTGTGTCACGGCCCAAACTGTGTCCCTGTGTGTCCCTGTTTGTTCCCCTGTGTGTGTGTGGAGGGGGTGTGGTTTCCCTTGCAGGCAGCAGCCTGATTGCACTCACCTGGCCGACCGGCTCAGCTGTCCCTCATCAATCCAATCAAGACACAGCATATCTACTCCAGTCTCCCAGCAACTCACCGCCAGATTGTTTTCTACACCAGTGTACGATCCCTCAGCCATCGGCCACCAGAGCTTCCAGCCAACCTGCCTGCTTCTTCCTTCACCATACCTGCCTGCCCTGTTCTCAGTCCAGCCTGAACTGCCTACCTCCACTCCGGACCTCCATAGTCTCCAAACCCGCCTGAGTCTCAGAACAATAAACCTTTTAAACATCTCCAGTCATTGCCTGCGCCTGGGTCCTGTTTAAAACATAATCCTAACAGAACAATCTGGCCACCATGGACCCAGCAGGCTCGGACCCAATTCGTGAGGCTCTCTCCAACCAAGGCGTCCTCGTGGGCCGGCATGACCAGATGCTCAGAGAGGTTATGGATAACCTTGCATCACTAGCTGCCAACGTAGCACAGATGGGACATCACCTCAACCTGGTTTCAACTCATCTTGCTCCGCCTGCTCCTGAAGATCCAGCTCCCCCACAAGAGTTAGCACCGGTTCCAGCCCAGCCCGCTCTCCCTTCACGTGAGCCTAATATTCCCACTCCAGAGCGGTACGCAGGTGCCTTAGGGACATGTAAGTCTTTCATAATGCAGTGTTCTCTTGTGTTTGAGCAGCAGCCGTCTACTTATGCTAACGACAGAGCTAAGATTTGTTATATGATAGGTTTACTTACAGGTAGCGCCCTAGCCTGGGCATCAGCTGTATGGGAGAGTCAGTCCAACCTTTGTAATTCTTATCCAGAGTTTGTAGAGGAAATGAAGAAAGTATTCCACCACCCCGTCAGCGGTAGGGACGCTACTAAACGCCTCCTCTCACTGCGACAGGGCTCCCGTAGTGTAGCCGAATACTCAGTGGAATTTAGGACCTTAGCTGCAGAGGCGGGTTGGAATGACACAGCGCTTCAAGGGGTTTTTCAAACAGGGCTAACTGATTCGGTTAAGGATGAGTTAGCAGTGAGGGACGAATCAGCTAACTTGGATGAGTTGGTCTCTCTAGCCATAAGACTGGATAATCGCCTTAGGGAGCGCCGTAGGGAAAGAGCCAGCCGATCTCCTGGGTCACTCCACTCTCGCCCTGTCTCGTCTCCTCTCGCAAGATTCGGGTCGGAAACTTTCCCAAGTCCCAGTGCCCCATCTGAAGTCTTTTCTCCTCTCCTGTCTTCAGAGGAACCGATGCAGCTAGGCAGAGCCCGACTCACTCCCCAAGAACGTCTCCGGAGAATAAGAGAAGGACTTTGTGTCTACTGTGCTCACTCCGGTCATTTCGTGGACACATGCCCCCAGCGCCCAAAAGAGGGGTGCTCGCCAGTAAAGGTGGGGATACTGGTGAGCAAGGCTGTTTCTTCCTCAACCCCCCAGACCCGCAAGCCACTTGAAGCCACACTGTTGTTAAACCAACAGTCTCTCTCTCTGCCTGTCCTACTGGACTCTGGGGCTGATGAGAGCTTTTTGGATGCCCAACTGGTTGCCTCAGCCGGCATCTCAACTCAACCTCTGACAGCTCCTCTCAATGCTCGAGGTCTGAATGGGAAGCTCCTGGCACACGTTACCCATGTCACCGAACCCCTACATCTCGTCCTGTCCGGTAATCACCATGAAATGATTCAGTTCCACGTCATGTCCTCCCCTCACACACCCCTAGTTCTGGGCCAGCCATGGTTAAGACTGCATAACCCCCACATAGACTGGTCGGAGAATCAAGTAAGGAGTTGGAGTACCTTTTGTCACTCTTCATGCCTGCGGTCTGCAATTCCCCCAGCAGAGGTCGGTATTCCCCCAGTTCAGCAGGAGCCACTCAACTTGTCCGCTGTCCCTCCGGTTTATCATAGCCTGGGAGAGGTTTTCAGCAAGCAGCGAGCCCTTTTTCTGCCCCCTCATCGCCCTTACGACTGCACAATAGATCTTCTTCCTGGGGCATCTCTCCCATCCAGTCGCCTGTTTAACTTGTCCCGAACTGAGCGTGAGGCCATGGAGACATACATCAAAGACTCACTCGCTGCTGGCATCATAAGACCCTCTTCTTCCCCCGTCGGAGCAGGCTTCTTCTTTGTATCCAAGAAAGACCGCTCCCTGCGCCCCTGCATTGACTACCGGGGCCTTAACAACATCACCATCAAGAACAAGTATCCACTGCCCCTCATCAATTCAGCCTTCGAACCCCTACAGAAGGCCACCATTTTCTCGAAACTCGACCTCAGGAATGCTTACCACCTGGTCCGCATACGTCAAGGAGACGAGTGGAAGACCGCATTCAACACCCCACTAGGCCATTTCGAGTATCTAGTGATGCCCTTTGGACTCACTAATGCCCCAGCTGTCTTCCAGGCTCTTGTGAACGATGTCCTCCGTGACTTCCTGAACCGTTCAGTATTTGTGTATCTGGATGATATTCTGATATTCTCACAGACCATGGAGGAACACACCCAACATGTGCAGCAGGTTCTACAAAGGCTCCTCGAGAACAAGCTGTTTGTCAAAGTAGAGAAATGCAAATTTCACGTGGATTCAGTGGACTTCCTGGGCTACATCATTGAGCAAGGTCAGGTGAGAACAGACCCAGAGAAGGTACAAGCAGTGGCACAATGGCCCAAACCTTCCACCAGGAAGCAGCTCCAACGTTTTTTGGGCTTTGCAAATTTCTATCGCCGGTTCATCAGAGACTACAGTCGTGTTGCCGGTCCTCTCAACCAACTCACCTCCCCAGCAATCCCCTTCTCATGGACTACTCAGGCTGAGGCTGCCTTCTCTGAGCTGAAGAGACGTTTCACCTCGGCTCCTATTCTTATGAATCCTGACCCATCTCTTCAGTTTATTGTTGAGGTTGATGCATCCAACACCGGTGTGGGGGCTGTTCTATCACAACGCTCAGTCTCCGATCAAAAGCTTCACCCTTGTGCTTTTTTTTCCCGACGACTGACAACCTCTGAGCGCAACTATGATGTTGGCAACAGGGAGCTGCTTGCTGTAAAGCTTGCGCTGGAAGAATGGAGGCACTGGCTGGAAGGCTGTGAACATCCATTCATTGTGTGGACAGACCACAGGAACCTGGTCTACATACAAACTGCCAAACGACTAAACTCCCGTCAGGCACGCTGGGCATTGTTTTTTGGCAGGTTCAACTTCACCCTTACCTACCGACCTGGTTCTAAAAACCTTAAACCTGACGCATTGTCCCGGCAGTTTGCAGTGGATCAGGACCCCATAGTTCCTGACATCATAATCCCTGCTACCAGAGTGGTGGGCGCTGTGACATGGGAGATTGAGAACTCAGTGAGGAATGCACAGAGAGACCAGCCAGATCCAGGAAATGGTCCAGATAACCGTTTGTTTGTACCTGACTCTGTCTGCTCACAGGTTCTCCTATGGACCCATGCTTCCCGCTTTGCCTGCCACCCGGGTGTGAATCGGACCCTGTCCCTCCTGAGACGACACTTCTGGTGGCCTTCCATGGAAGCGGACTCTCGAGCCTTTGTGCTGGCCTGCACTGTCTGCGCCCGTAGCAAGTCTTCACACCAGGCTCCTATCGGTCTACTCCAGCCTCTCCCAGTCCCTAGTCGTCCCTGGAGTCACATCGGCCTAGACTTTGTTACCGGCCTCCCGGTTTCACAGGGTAACTCAACCATTCTCACTATTGTCGATCGCTTTTCCAAAGCGGTTCATTTTGTGCCTCTTCCTAAACTCCCCACAGCCTCTGGAACTGCTGACCTCCTAGTCAATCATGTGGTCCGGCTTCATGGCATTCCAACAGACATTGTTTCCGACCGAGGGCCACAGTTCATATCTCAGGTATGGAAAGCATTCTGTCGAGCACTTGGAGCATCTGTCAGTCTCTCCTCAGGCTATCATCCGCAGACTAACGGGCAGGCCGAAAGAGCCAATCAGGACCTTGGAGCTGCACTTCGCTGTGTCACCTCCCGGAATCCCACCTCCTGGAGTTTACATCTGCCCTGGATTGAATACGCTCATAACTCACTGTCTAGTGCTGCCACCGGTATGTCCCCATTTGAATGTTCTCTTGGATATCAACCCCCTTTGTTCCCAGCCCAAGAGGACGAGATCGCAGTTCCCTCTGTCCAAGCCCATCTCCGTCGTTGTCGGAGGATCTGGAAGGATGCCCGCTCTGCCCTTCTCCGCTCCGCTGAACGCAATCGGCATATTGCAAACCGCTACCGGACCGCAGCTCCCCAGTTCCAACCAGGTCAGAAAGTTTGGCTTTCATCTAAAAATATTTCTTTACAAGCTGAGTCTAAGAAGTTGAAACCACGCTTCATTGGTCCCTATGTGATCGAGCGCATAATCAATCCATCTGCTGTTAGACTCAAGCTGCCTCCCTCCATGAGAATTCACCCTACCTTTCATGTGTCCCAGTTGAAACCAGTGTTTTCCAGCCCTTTGTGCCCTCCAGCCATCTCCCCTCCACCCACCCTTGTTATTGATGACCACCCGGCCTACACGGTCCGGCGGCTGTTGGACATTCGCCGCCGTGGGTACCAGTATCTGGTCGATTGGGAGGGTTATGGTCCTGAGGAGAGGAGCTGGGTGTCCCGCAAGCTCATTCTAGGTCCCTCTCTCATTCGGGACTTTCACAGAGACCACCCAGACAAGCCTGGTGGTTCGCCTGGAGGCTCCCGTTGAGGGGGGGTACTGTCACGGCCCAAACTGTGTCCCTGTGTGTCCCTGTTTGTTCCCCTGTGTGTGTGTGGAGGGGGTGTGGTTTCCCTTGCAGGCAGCAGCCTGATTGCACTCACCTGGCCGACCGGCTCAGCTGTCCCTCATCAATCCAATCAAGACACAGCATATCTACTCCAGTCTCCCAGCAACTCACCGCCAGATTGTTTTCTACACCAGTGTACGATCCCTCAGCCATCGGCCACCAGAGCTTCCAGCCAACCTGCCTGCTTCTTCCTTCACCATACCTGCCTGCCCTGTTCTCAGTCCAGCCTGAACTGCCTACCTCCACTCCGGACCTCCATAGTCTCCAAACCCGCCTGAGTCTCAGAACAATAAACCTTTTAAACATCTCCAGTCATTGCCTGCGCCTGGGTCCTGTTTAAAACATAATCCTAACACATTGAGGCTTTAAGCCAAAATCAACAAACTGTGAAATTGTTGTTAAACTCACAAGAGCAAACTGGATTGAACCCACAGTGCAAAACAATGAGAACAGAATGGAGGTGTTTTACTTGAAAAAGGTTTTATTGCAAAACGGGCAGGTACTGTGAGTTTGTGGATGTAGTAGCAGAAAGAGCTGACACTAAAAATCCAGGACACGGGGCTGAGGGATATATAATATACTATGTAATATACTATATAATATACTATTATATACCATATAATAAGAGCAGCATTGGCTCAGTCTCTAGGGACTTGGCCTGGGAACCGAAGGGTCACAGGTTCACGTCCCGATCAGACCAAAAGAAAATGAGGAGTGCGGACTGCTAGCTGGAGCCAGTTCACCTCCTGGGTAACTGCTCCCTGGCTTCTTCACTCTGCCACCTCTCCTATCCTGCATGTGGCTCTGTCTTCTTCTTTTTTTCTTTCTTAATAGTGAATCTTAAGAAAAACATTGAACTTCAAGGAGTTACTACAGAAAACTTGGTCCTCTCCTCTCCTCATCCTCTCTAGACCATTAACCTGTTAAGCCCGAGAGACCCCGGTACCGGGGCACTCCCGCAACATCTTGCAGGAAACAGTGTCTGAGGGCATGTTCATTTAATAAACTATGAATGTTTTATATCCATGTAACGGGAAGAAACTCATCTAACTGATCCTTTTTTTTTTAAAACCCACAATGCTAACGCTGAGCCTCTGAATTAGCAATGAGCGAAAAATGCTAACAGATTACTGCACCGAAATTCAATCACAAAACCTTATTATTTATCTTTTCTGCACATCCAACACATCGTTTCACATCGTGAGGTGACACAGAATCGATGGGTACATACATTATCACTCAATGATACGAACTCGCGACTTTATAAACAAAAACAGACATCAAAACATGTGGCGCTAGGTAGCTAAAAACGCTAACATGGTTTACCTGTGTCGTAGTCTGGTCAAAAGTGGTCTTCAATGGCATTAAAACGATAAAAACGCTGCTGAAGTTAATCCATAGGTTAATCCAATGTGTCTGTGTCCCTTTGAAATGATTTCTGATAATCCATGAGCAATAAACCTGCTTTTCCGTTTCCAGATGTCAGAGCTAGAGTATAGGTTCGCTCTGATGCAAAACTGCATGCGCGAAGCCCCCACCTTTTCTTTGTACCATGTGTGTGAGAGGGGAGATTCCCCTTCGATTCTATTGGCTCTAACGGTCAGAAAGAGATGTCAATCACCAAAATCGACCAATGGGTTCCAGAGAAACGGTAAAACCCCCATTTCCACCCAAATCACCTCAGAGGTGGAGTTTACCTTACCATCATCCAAGGGTAGTTTTCACTATAAGTAAAAAATAATTTTTGGACGGACACTATAATTTACAGTTTTTTACTATGTTCAATCTGAATTTTCTTTAAAATAAAAAACATCTATATTGTTCTGAATTTTCTATATCCAACTCACAGGTTTATCATTACTTTGAGAAAAAGGATTATTAATTTAACCATTTTAGAAGAGAAGATATGGTCATTTGTTCTGGGAATGTCATTTTCGAGCCTGAGACCTGAAAAACAGGCTCAGGGCTAAACAGGTTAATGTCTGCACATGTTTTGTTCTAAATGTAATGGCACACAAATATTAATTTGTTGCAGTATGACTATGGTGGCTGGATGCCCAACAGTCCCTCCACAATGCAACTTCCTCCACCAACCACAAAGGGGACAACAAGTGAGGAAACACTGCTGCAGACATTGCCTAACAAGGGTGTGACAGCTAACACAATGGCCACCTTGTGGCTACTCAGCAACTCGGTCTCTGACACCGTAAGTGCCAAAAAAAGTTCTGTGAAATAAATTACATATCACCTCAAGATGTTCAGATGCTGTATCAAATCAATTAATATTATTAGCATTATATATATATTATATATATATATATATATAATATATATATTATATATATATATATATATAATATATATATATATATATATTATATAGCCAGTGGCGTTTTTATATGTACAAAAGTGGTGGGGCACAAAAAACGTAGATGTCTATATATAAGCTTCTGCAGTGACGTGCAGTGAGGTTCATGGCTGGTGAGGCACTGGCACTGACTCTTCAGGTTTACAAATATTATATTTTGACCTAAACCAAAATATAATATTATTTTCAAAAGCTTTTTTTGTCTGATGCTTCGATTAATTTTAAACAGACAGTTCAACAAAAGGATACCCAAAAAATGTAATTTTATCATTTAAATATTGAATTGTTCTCTCTTAGTAAGATCCCATTTTCAATCAAATTGCGGTCTTACCTTGACTTGAAGATGAAGTACATTTGCCTATCCTTCTGGACAAAAATGTCTATAACTTTTTTGTAAAAGTCCTCCTTATGTTCTTGTAGTTTCAAAAGTCTATCATAAATCTAATCCATAGATTTATGATAAAAAAATTATAAAAGTAGGGTAGACATGTGGATGTTATCCGGCTGATCAAAACGTGCATTTATCTAACAGGTACGTTTCCCACAGATCTTATTTCCAGCTATTTTCTAAAATCCTCTGGAGAAATCTCATTGCTTTTTTGTCGAGGGAAGCCATGCGCAGCTTACTTCCTGGTTTTAGGACGCGTCACTGCAGCTCTCTCGTCTCCTCTTCACACACCACACTTTTCGCGGCACACGTACTTACAGCCAATCAGCTCTGAATGATTTGAGATGACGTATGGTGGGGATGGTAGCTCCATGCCCCTCTGGTCATTATTTTTTTGCCACACACATTTCATTACAAAATACTCTGAGCATGCGCAGTGTAGTTTTTACAGTCACCGTTGACTTCACAGCGAGAGGGAGGGGCATAATCAGGTTTTGTCCCACATGGCTCTAAACAGCTCAATAGGCACACACTGTGACTGTAGACACACTAATTAGAAGAACACAGACTAAAACAGCAATGTACAGACGAATCAGATGATTAAACATGATCTTAAAATATATTTTATATATTTTTTTATTTATTTTTTTGCATTTTTGTAATCATTATTTGTAATACTTTCTGCTGACACTAGGTGGGGCTGTGCCCCTAATGACCAGTCGCCACTGTATATAGCCAAATGTTGTTTTATGTTTGATACAGTGACGTGCGGTGAGGTTCATGGCTGGTGAGGCACAGACTCACTGAGTCAGATTTACAAATATTATATTTTGACCTTAATCGAAATATTCGGTTATTTTCAAAAGCTTTTTTAGTCTGATGCTGTGATTAATTTTAAACAGACCGTTCAACAAAAGGATACCCAAAATCTAAATATTGGATTGTTCTTTCTTAGTAAGATCCCATTTTCATTACAAATGTGGTCTTACCTTGACTTGAAGATGAAGTCCATGCTATCCTTCTGGACAACAATCTATATTACTGTTTTGTAAAAGTCCTCCTTATCTTCCTGTAGTTTCAAAAGTCTAGTTTGTTGTTACGTCTACCGTCTCTGCGTAGAATAACAGTAGCAACAAGAACCTGTGGGCTCACGTGCGCCCCCTTCAGTGCGGCAGAGGTTATGGCTGTCTCCCCTGGTGCATTTTCATTGCCGTTGAGACCAGCGAGCCTACATATCATATATACGTGAAATAAGTTATTTAGAGACTATGGATGGCGAGGATAAATGTAATAAAGGGATCTACAAACATTACATTGGTGACCTACAGTGAGATGGTGACAGGCATGCGCTTAGGGCCCGCTTTCCAGACAGTTTCTGTGGGGTGACGCATTCTGAGGTGAGGCAGATCTCATCTGTGCCTCACCTCACCTCACAGTAAATGGCTTGAGCGCGCTCACAAAATAAGTGGCCGCGCTAAATTAGTGCCCGTGCTCCAGCAAGTTACTGTGGGCTTACGAGAGGCAGAGCACGTCCCTGCCTCACTTGTCATCGCTCCCGTAGCGGAGCTCGGCAAATTTGCTGATTTTGACTATAAAAAGCGAAAAAAAATGTATAATTTCATATTCCAGCTATTCCTCAAAAAACATGTTTTGGATATCATGCCATTCACATTTTTAATTTACATTTTAAGAAATTGTAGTTTTTGTATTAGTACCCCAAGCTTCCATAAGTGGGTCAAACCTGACCCGCATGCATTTTCTATGGAATCCTATGGGAAAACGTTTTTTTTCAAAATGTAAAAGAAATTTCTAAAATTATAAATAGTGAAAAATTAAATATAAAATATTTCTAGTGTGAACCAAAATATAATACTAAATATTATACAAGAGATTTTTCTTAACCAAAATGACAAAAATGGCATAAAAACACATATTATTCTAATACGGGTCCTTTTAGACCCACTTATGGAAGAGTGTAGGGTCCAGTCACTCGTGCATCTAAGGGTTAAATCATAATCGATATGTTATTTCTTCTTATTAGCTCATTAATCAATACACAGGGTATCTTAACAAAATAAATAGCTCCTGGAAAAATATTATTTTGCATTACAATTGTAAGACTTAAATAAACTATTCCTTATTACTTATGATAATAATGAAAAAATAAATATTTGTAGAGGGAATTTTGTTTTGCCATATTCACTACATGCTGTGTAACATATCTGTATTTATAAAAAAAACAGTTAGTGAAGAGTTTCTTATGATATCCATCTTTCATGGACGAAATGGGACCATTCCAAATTGTTTGTTTAAACTATGTGATATGGAAAATGTAATAAAACATGGTGTGGGTCATCTGAATATAAAAGTTATGTGGTGGATTTTTGGTTCTCCGAGAGAGGCAACTTGGTTGAATTACTTATACTTATGTATATGATTAATAATGATATTAAATATGTGAATATACTTTTTTTTTGTAATGATTATTAATTCCTTCTGATAGTCCTTTTAGTTACCCTATTGAGCAAATTACCCTACTTCTTTAAGTGACTCTTTATGCAAGTCAAAGCTACAGATTAAATAGGATTAAGGAAATGTTATTAGTTATTAATTGTATTTAACTATTTCTGGACAGTGGATAGTTATGTTGACATGTTGATATTACAGGTCCGGCCTTTATTATTAAATTAAAATTAAAATCACTGACGCTGAATTGCTATGCTGAAATGTAATGTGTAAGAAGAAAGTGAAGAATTTCGATTGAAATGACACTGGGGGCTTGAATGTGTGATGAGAGAAGAAAAGAAAGTAAAAAGGCTTGGAAAAGCAGCAGAATATTTGAAGTGCAAACTTTTGAACTAACTTGATGGTGAATGATCTGTCGCCATGCCAACGGCATTTGATGACATCCCATAATACGTTTAGATGCGTTGATGGCTGCATCGTTACCAAACCTGTTTTGGGCAGTTTGGAGCATTTTCACTGAAGTTATGAGAAAACCGTGTTTCATGGTGAGCATTGTGTTGCCATGGCAACGACATTTGAAGAAATCTCAAAACTGTCCCGTAGATGTCTTCACGGCTGGACTGTTAGCACACATGTGAAGTTAGAGCACTTTTTGAACATTTTCATAGGAGTTATAGCGACATCGTCTTTTATGGCGAGGGATGCGTTTCCATGGAAACGGCATATGATGACACCCCATAATTGACGTAGAGCTGTTGAAGGCTGGACCGTTAACCATTATCCGAAGTTGTGTGCTGTTTTGACCCTTTTCATAGGCGTTACGACAACATCGTGTTTTCTGGCGAGGGATGCGTTTCCATGGCAACAGCCTATGGTGAGATCTCAGATTTGGCGTAGAGCTGTTGAGGCATGGACCGGTGATATACAAACGAAGTTTGGGGGACAATCGTGTTCTATGGAGAGGGATGCGTTTCCATGGAAACGGCATATGATGACACCCCATAATTGACGTAGAGCTGTTGAGGGCACGACCATTAACTATTATCTGAAGTCTGGTGCTGTTTTAGACCATTTGCATAGGTATCACGACAACATCGTGTTTTATGGCGATGGATGCGTTTCCATGGCAACAGCCTATGGTGAGATCTCAGATTTGGCGTAGAGCTGTTGAGGCATGGACCGGTGATATACAAGCGAAGTTTGGGGGACGATCGTGTTCTATGGAGAGGGATGCGTTTCCATGGAAACGGCATATGATGACACCCCATAATTGACGTAGAGCTGTTGAGGGCTGGACCGTTAACCATTATCTGAAGTCTGCTGCTGTTTTATGGCGAGGGATGCATTGCCATAGCAACACCACATTACGTAACATCTGATTTGATGTAGAGCTGTGTTAACCATTATCTGAAGTCTGCTGCTCTGAGCATGTCAGTTGGTCGGAGTTATGACATCATCGTGTTCCATGACACAGGTGTTTATATTTGAGCTAACGAGTGTCCAGAGATCAAAGGTTTCCATGGTGATGTGCAGTAATCAGTGAGAGGAGAGCATTTTCATTGTTCTGAATGAGAGATAAACCTCTTACATGTGAACGTTTTGTTGAAGAACCGTAACAGATATCGGTGAAATTTCAAAGCGTGAAGCATGTCAAGGAACTTGAGCATCTGAAGTGTACTTTTTGTGTACTTTCGGGTTCATAATGTGGCCTTTTTGGCAGATTAACTAAAGGTGTGCGGCTGCTGTGGTGGGGAAAGATGAGGCTGAACTTTCAATGGGGTTTAATGGAGACATGTTGAAGGTTTTTGTCACTTCATGCCCTCAAGAGGCATTTTGTTTAATTATTTTGCTGCGAGATCTTTTCCTACGTTTCTCATGAAAAATTATGTCTCAGGAATGTAGGGTTTGGGAATTATGGCAGGTTTAAAAGAAAATATGAAGGCAAAATTAAATCTGTCTTCCACTCTAGCTGTGACATCACGCACTCTAAAATCTGAAGAAGGCCTCTTTATCA